AGTCAAAAGCCAAAATCTCCAAAGCAGAGGCAACCAACCCCTTACACCAGCCTCAAACTCGGTTGATTCATCTCCCTTGCTTGCATAAGTGGAAATGTTTTCAAGATGTGTACTGTTTCATTGACAGCAGAATCTAGGTCTTCTAGCAAAACAAAGTCCCTGCAGAGAACACATTAGAAAAGAACCTGGAGAAAACAATTCAATTTCATGAAGCAATTATTGGTTATACCAGACAGTCAATAAGAGATACCGAAATCAAGAACTCTGCTCTAACTTCAGGAGACTTTCAATCTAACAAACCAACAAGTAAGTGGCCATTTAAACAATGTAAAAAAGGTTGCTAGATGAAAAAAGTTCAGGTGATTGGTTGCACAACATTGTAAACAGACTTAACACCCCTGAACTGTACACTTAAAATGGTCGAAGTGGAAAATTTTATATGTAAAATTTATTTTATCACTATTAAAATTTTAATTTAAATATAAAGAGAAAAATGAAAGTGAAGATAATATTTTTTTTTCTTTTTGGTACCAGGAATTGAAACCAGGGGTGCTTAACCACTGAGCCACATCCCCAGCCCCCTCCCCCCCCTTTTTTTTTTGTATTTTACTTTGAGAAAGGGTCTCACTGAGTTGCTTAGGGCCTCACTTTTGCTGAGGCTGGCTTTGAACTCATGATCCTCCTGCATCAGCCTTCCAAGCTGATGGGATTACAGGTGTGCACCACCATGTCCAGCTGAAGAATAAATTTGTCAACCACCCTACTCTGTTGGGGAAAAAGACAGGGAAAGTCTGGCATTGACCTGGCCCCAGGCAAGACTGGATTCTGGGGAATGGAAGAAAAGCAAATTTTCAACCAAGAATATCCAGTTTGGAAAAAACAGAGAAGTCAGTTCAAAATCCATTCAGGAAAATCAATTATAAAATGCAAGAAAACACCAGAATTTGTGTGAAAGTTCAGAGAAAAGAGGACAGAGATGGACAAAGTTATTGGCAGAGCACAAGAGCATCCCAGCAATAAGAGGAAATACAGAGCAATTGCCAACTGTTTTGGGCATCTCTGGCTCCCTCTTCAAGTTGCAAGACAAGGATTTCATGATGAGTAGGTACAGAGTTGGTGTTAGATAGCAAGGGTTGATGCAGGACAACAACCGACAAGGATCTGCCCAGATGGAAGGAGGAAGATCAAGAAAAGCTTCCTGGAAAAAGTGACAGTTAACATGAACTTTAAAAAATAGGCTGGGCATAGTGGCACATGCCTGTAATTCCCAGCAATTTGGGAGGCTGAGGCAATAAGATCACAAGTTCAAGGACAGCCTCAGCAACTTAGATCCTAAACAACTTAGCCAGACCCTGTATCAAAATTAAAAAATAAACAAGGTCGGTGGTGCTCAGTGGTTTAAGTGCCCCTGGGATCAATCCTTGTAGCAAAAAAAAAAAAAAGTGTGCTTGCTTTGGCAGCATATATACTAAAATTGGAGTGATACACAGAGGATTGGCATGGCCCAGCACAAGAACAACATGTAAATTTGTGAAGTAATCTATATTTTTCTGTTTCCAGTCTTTCTCTGTTTTGTGTTACATTCTCCAGTTTAAAATTTAGCATCATAATCTCAGCTTTCAGATTACTAAACTGTTCAGTATACTAGGAAAAAAAAAAGAGATGCATTTTGAACATGAGATGTACAAAAGAGCATTTCCATACGATAAAAATGACATGCCCAGTAAAGCTAAGGAAAGTCTAGAGAATGTGGTAATGCATACCTAGCAGATGCATTGATCTAAAATGTAAGAAAAATAACACTGTAAGGTAACCCTGGAAAAAAGATGAGGATGGTACCATTAGGGTCTCTCAGGTCAGAATACAGCAATAAATAAAATTAATCTGGTAATATGTTTTTAATGCATTTGAATAGGGAGATATAATACATAAAAATGTATTTAAAGACTTTTTCTGTGACTAGATAAGAAGATTATGCCTAATATGAGTTTTAGCTTGATTATTGCTGGTATTCAGTTACTAATACTTAGTATCTAGTAGGTATAGATGAATAGCAGTTATTTGCTGAGTTAACAAATCAAAAAAAACACTAATGAATTAATTAGGAGGATCTAAGCTAAGGCTATAGAAATGGTAATGAACAATGAGAAATAAATAGAAAAGTATTGTTGAAACAAATTCAATATGATTTAACATTAGATCAAAAGGGGAGAAATAATACATGATTTTGAAGTCTGGGGTCTGGGAGATTTGAAGATGGGGTAGGGGAAGATCATGGGTCTTCTACCCCAACCTGTGCATAGGAAAGGCTTTTTATTGTTAATCCTTCTCATTGGAGGTATAAACTAGAATTGAGTTGGGAAATACCCACAATACAGAAAGGAGTACAATAAGGAGATTATAACTGACAGGAAATTGAATTATCTAGCTATACATTTTGGGATGATTAGAAACAGTGTTCTTAGCTAACCTAACAGAATTCTAAGCAACTTGGATATTTCAAAGAATGGATAACTTAGGTGTTACTCAGTTTTTCTCAGTAGCAAATATAAAACAAACAAAAAAGCTAATTAAATTGAAAAGCTGCCCTATAGCTCGTCTCACCATTTTTGAAGCAATCCATTTTACTTTAAGTACTCCTAACAAATACCTTCTAAAAGGCAAAGATACCGGTAAAAATGAAACTCAATGTTCCCAGCTCGCAATGTTTCCATCTCTGCCCTGATGGATGATACAATAATGAAGATGATCTACATACTCCCTACCGCAATATCTGACTATTTTCTAAAAAAGATGTTTCCTTTTTACACCATAGAGAGACAGAGGTTCCCCAGGTAGAGAACAAAGACCTCTCTCCTAGAAGACAAAATCTTAGAGAGTAAATTAATTGTATTGATAAATCTAATCATAATTCTGTTCGAATCTTAAACTAAAGCACAGATAAAGGATGATGTAGGTTATTTTAATAGTCACTTAACAATAGTTATTTAGTGACATATTTACTAAGAAAGTTTATTTCTTGCTTCAGGGTAACATGAGAACTTGAGATTTTTTTTAAGTTTTACAACCTAGCCACAGACATATTAGCTGAAAATGAGGTCTCTTGTTAGAGTTCTTTGATTCCCTTGGTATATTCTGGGAATACAGTAAAATAATTGTCTCTACCATTTACCATAAAGAAATTTAAGTATATAAAAAAACATTAACCACTTCACATCTGAATTAACAGAACATGTTCTTGAGGCCAGGCTGATCTCTCTGTCAACAGGGACTCTGACCTGAGGAGGGGGGTACAAAGTAAGTAAAAAACACAGACTGGCCTTTGGGGTGGGTGTGTGGCAAGTAAATGTAAGCACATTACATAACCATATACACAACTGTATATTGCTCAGCCAACAGTGTTCATTTTGGAGATACAATCTTGTGATCAACATCCAACCCAAGATCCATCCAATCCCTTGTTTTCCAAATAGTATTCTATCCTGTTATTTAAAATCTATGGGCATCCACATTCCTCAGCCTCCCCTGTGAGTTTGATTGGGTTTCTCACAAATATAAATTATATTCACTTATGACATTATGTAGCCTCAGTCCTTTCTAATTCTTCATTCAAATCCGAGGAAACTCTCATAGGAAGGTGCTTGGAAGGTATTTCCACAAGTCATCCAAGAGGGTGGAGACCAAAACACTAGCATTTCAGCCTTCAAAGGCACAGCAGCTGGCTGGTAAGAACTTGTTCCTAATTCCAAAAGTAAAAATACACAAAATAGGCCATTTTCTTACAAAGTGTCTAAGAAGAAATGAAAAATTATTATAAAAGTATCTGGGGTCTTAAAATATGATAATCTTAAAGAGCTGCCATTTCTCATATCTCTTTTCTCTAAATACCATTCCTGCCACAGCCCAGATTGAAACAACTAGAATTGAAAGGGGAAAAGTTCATGAAACCCACAGTGAATTAGGGAAAACAGACTCTACACCAAGAAAACAAAAATTTAAGAAGCACAAGGGAATTTGCTCTCACAGAAAAAGAAGCTTGGTATTGTCCTCACAAGAAAGTGCAGGATAGAGCTCTAAATAAATAGTGTTATCACCAAAAAAAATAATAATAATAGCATTTAAAACTAACATCAGTAGGAACAGAAAACGTATAATTCTTTTTAAAATTCTTCTTCTGACCTTAATCCTGTACTTCACAAATCATTTTCTACGTTTCTCTTTGAGGGCATGGACATCAGAATCCTCCAACAATTGAAACAGTGCTAGAAACAATCACCTATTGAGCACTTACTAAGTACCACGGACTATGCAAAGTGTTTTACAGACAAATTCTTTTAACTCTCACAATAACGCTATTGGTGATTAAAATGAATTTGCACCAAGTGAAAACTGCACTGGCATTTGGACTATGGAAAAAATGTGCTTCTTCATCATGTCCCTTGTCATCCCTGAAGTTGAACCCAAAAGTGATGGGGGCAACGGGGATCCCACACAAACTAGAACTGCAGAAAAGCAACTAGGAAATGGGTATCTGAATGTTTGGTTTAAGTAAAGGGTGGGATAGAGGAAATGAATTAAAATCCTCGTGAATAGACAAGGTTAGCCTACAGTTTTACTCAAAATGTATGAATCAGAGATTGAGATTACCAATATATCTGCTGGTCTGTACATGCAATCACATTTATTTATAAAAAAATAATAAATAAAAATAAATTGACTCTCGTTGGATTAGTTATGGTGTGTGTGTGTACATATACTTAGGTTTAGATGCAACTTATATGAAATCTCCGTATACATACATATGCCTAAAACCATACATATAACCAGGTATCCAATATTTACTTACCACACATTCGACAACCAAGAACTTAAGAGGGAAACACACAATAAGCAAAACGTTCTCTCTGCATTCAAAATGGATGTGGTAAAAATCAGGTTCTTAGAGCACTGCCTTGTCCCTCCTGCCCACTCTCAAAGCTAATTAACTTTTATTTACTTACCATTGCTCAGGGGCTTGGTATTAGTAGCCTGTTTATTTCTATTCTCCTAGATAAGAAGTAAGAAAGGGAAAATTATTAGAGATAAAGATCTGCATTGGCCACAAAAAGTGACATGACTTGAGCTTTTTAATACCTTGTTGCTGAACAATTTTGTGACTGAGTAAACTTTACCCAGAATCTATTATACAGTTGTCTTAGCACGAATTCTTATTTTGGGGGTAGGGGGACTTAGTGTTTTAGTTTTCTGTGCCCAGAGCTGAGTCAAGAATTACTGTTATATGGGTTGGGGTTGTGGCTCAGTGGTAGAGCACTTTTCTAGCATGTGTGAGGCACTAGGTTCAATCCTCAATGCCACATACAAAAAAATAAATAAAGGTCCATCAACAACTAAATATGTATATAAAATTTTAAAAAAAGAATTACTGTTATGTTAGGTTGAACAAACTATCTTTTTCAGTGATAACTTGATTGTAAGGAACAGAACTAACCTAGGCCAACTCCATTCCATGTGTATGTAACTGTCCCTCTGGGGGAGATAATAATTACTCTCACAGACACAAAGAACACCTGACCCTCATGGAAATTGGAGCCACAGGCAGGGAAACAATCAGGTCCACAGTTCACCTCACTCTCCCAGAGTGTTTCTCACCTGTGTTTTGAATCTGTGTAAAGAATCTCTTGGTTCTGCCAGGAACTTTGAGTGGCGTCTAGTTTTGTCCTTACTTCCAGCTTCAACGTCCCACCTTTCCGCTCATTTCCCCAGAAATAGGTCTAATTCCAAATTCCCCCAGAAATGAATCTGATTGGCCCAGACTAAATCAGATGTTTACCCTTAGTCAAACCAGTTGTAGCCAAGTATGGCAGGGTAAATGTTAGAACCATTACTGCCTAAAGCAGCCATTCAGAAGTTATTCATTCAACCACTTATTTATCTGTTTCCTTATAATAAGTGGTCTCTCGCCACATGGAACTCATGCTTGAGAAGAGATTATTATTTATTCTATGCTGTTTTGAAGGCAGAACTCAGATCGAGAATGAAAATGACAGAAAAAAAGAACTATGCAACCACTGGTGGACTCCAGAAATGAAATGGAAGATTCCAGGATGCTTTACCTAGCTCCTCAACCACAGCAAGTGGCAGTAACTATCAAGAATAGTGTTGAAGTGATTCTAGCATGGGGGAGAAGATGGAACTAAAGCATTTGCTAGTCTCTTTAAACTCCATGATTCCAGGGGCTGGGGCTGTAGCTCAGTAACAGAGCATCTGCCTAGAATGTGTGAGGCACTGGGTTTGATCCTCAGCTCCACATAAAAATAAAGGTATTGTGTCCATCTACAATTAAAAACAAAAACAAACAAACAAACAAAAACCCAACCAAACAAAAAAAAAACACTCTGATTCCAAAATGGAGCTTCACAGAATGGAGTTCAGAAACAGAATGACAACATCTGAAACTACAGTTGACCGCAGAGAGGGCTTCCCAATAGGCTTCATTACGTTATTCCCCATCCTTGATCTTCATAGATGTACTCTCTGTACTAAAGACATTGTGCAAATGTTCAAAGAGAGCCACCGTGGCTCTGAAAGAACATTTTTATAAGCCATGTTGTAGGCTGACTGTACAAATCCGTAATAGAAGCACTATAGGATCTATTGTGACTAATCTGTTTTTAGAACAATACTGAGAAATGACACCACTTCTAATCAGAAAGGGAAATGGGCTGATCTCTCTGAGTATATGTGTGTGTCTCTGCCTGTGATGCAATAAAGGATTTATGTAAACAACCTTGAAGATCATCTGTGACAGGCAATACTCTGGATGACAACAGAGGGAAGCAACAAACACCAGGGTTTTAATGCTGACTTAGAAACCTGCCAATGTGTTTCAGTCTGGCTCACTCCTGTCTGGCCTATACCTTTTTCTTTATTTGGAAGTAGATAGAATCACAGCACTTAGTTCACATAATGATAAAAAGAAAAAATAATAGACTTAAGGCATTTAGCCTAGTGCAATGTGTGACTCATAGTGAACATTTAGCAATAATTTGTTACATAGTTTATATAATATGAATATGTACTGACTGCTTTGAATTTTATCATTATTCTTCCTGGTTTTAAAGATGAAGAAATATTTTATGGTTGAGGACATTGAGACTCAGGGGAGTTAAGTAAATTGCTCAAAGTTAAATTTTGAGTGGCATACCTATAATTTGCACTCAATTTGTTTGAAATCAAGAACTTAAATCAAGTAGTTTCTGACATCTTTAATATTAAACTTCTGCCTGGCATTTCAGGTAAACAAACATATGTTTAGAGATAAGTTCTTCAAATAAATGATTAAGTTAAAATGAGGCCTTTAGTGTAGACCTTTAATCAATCTGACTGGTGTCCTTTATAAAATAAGGAGATCTGCTACACAAAGAAATTTAGCAGCAGGTGTGCCTACACAAGGAGAAAAGAGTACATGAGGATGCTGAGGATGCTGTTAGCAGGGCTTCTGCAAGCCAAGGAGAGAGGCCTCAGGAAAACCAAACCTACAGGCACCTTGATCTTAGACCTAACACCTCCAGAACTGTGAAAAATAAATTTCTGTTGCATAGGCCACGTGGTCTGTGATATTTCATTTTGGTAGCCCTAGAAAACTAACATATTCCTCACACATTTATTAAATATAAGCTAGCTATTCAAAATATTCTCATTTTTCCTTTTCCTTTTTATTGTACATTTTGCTTATTCATGTCTTCTTTTCTTATCAGCCTTGCTGGAGGCTTTCTGTCTTATTTAAGAATGAAACAGGGGCTGGGAGTGTTGCTTACTGCTACGGCACATTCTTAACATTGATACATTTATAAATACCTATAGGTATTTATACCTATAAATGCCTATTTATACATTTATAAGTACCTATATGTTCAATCCCTAGCACACACACACACACACACACACACACACACACACACACACACACACAGAGAGTGAACCAAATATCCTTGTTCAGATTCTACCTCTGCATTTCTAGTCGCATAAGCTTTGATAAGCCACTTAGCTTTGTTTCCCTCTATTGTAAATGAGGATAATTATAATGCCTTCCTCCATTGAATTAAGACAAATAAATGATCAATTAATATAAATGAATAACTTAGTAACAATGCAAGTAAGTACTAAATATTAGCTGTTTTGTTATTTTGTTATAGCTAATATTTTTATGGTCAAAATTTAAAGTATTGCCTTTGGATGTTATTCTCTCTTTTGTTTTATTTTACTATAATTTTATCTTTACGTTCCATAATATACTTCCTAGTTTTGGTTTGGGGCTTACTTTTCTCTTTTTATAGTTTCTTCCAGTCTTTGCTAATTTATTTTTTAGTATTGCTTTTTCCTGTCAGAAAATGTATGCAAATCTATACATTTCTTCTGCTTTAGCTACTTTCAGCAAATTTTGATAGAAAATTGAAGGTATTCAGCTATAGGTATTTTATAATTTCATTATAGATTAGGACTTATTGGATGACTTGGATACCTGAATTCTTTTTTAGCCTACTTTCAGAGATTAGGAGTCCTTCTCTGTTATCTTACATTGCTGTGCTCTTTAACAACCTGCCTCCTTGCAGCTTGCAATACCCCAGGCAGGCCTTGTGCTTCTGGTTTGTAGGCACCACATCTTCTTGTGCTTTTCTGAATGTACCAAACTATTTCTTAAATATTCTTTTGCATCCCAGAGCAGCTTTTTTTTCATATAAGTAACTCTTTTTCTGCCCAACCCCCAGTCTTCTTGATGCTGTTTCTTTTCAATGTTGCACAGTATGTGGGGACTCTTTTATTTTTCTTTTCTACCCCTTGAATAAAGCAAGAGTTATTCCTCTCCATGTTCTCAGTAGGTGGGGAGGGTGGAGTTTTCCTTGTCCATCAGGTGGCTTGACTCCTTTTCTCAAATCTATTACTACAGGGCGGGTTTATGACTTCACTTCTTCCAAACCTAACTTCTTTGGGCCTACCTCTTCTTTTCATAGCTAATATGATTCTTCCACTCAAGTGGTTTATTTTATTTTTTTTAAATTTTGTTCGTCTATTTATTTTGTCTGCATTTATTTACTTACTTACATATTTATTTTTTAGTGAGCTGACTGGTTAAGTACCCACTAAGATCAAGTTTCCTCCTTTGAACTTAAAACTTTAGGACCATGTTCCTCGGAGTTATGTTCTTAGAATGCAATGAAAGCTGCTGATTGTCTTCTACTTTCTACCCAATTGTTTGGGGAGGGGGGGGTCATAGTTTAGTATTTAACGGATGAAGAGGAGGATGGTTGAGTTTGATGGTGGATTTAAAGATGAGGAAATATGCACTCTTTATTAGAAAGCAGCTTTAAAGGGGCATAAAAGATCTCCTCTAAGTCCATTTTCTATTTGAGCAGGTGAAGAGATATCAAGTATTTTCCTGTCTTTTGTCAGATGGATATTTCTGGAACTGGGGTTGATGAATGCCAGACTTGTTTTGGAAATTGCTTCATGATGTATCCTGTCTCTTATCACTCCTTTATAGGTAATTCTTGGGTTCAAGTTTTTAACCTCTCTGAGTCTCCATTTCCTAATCTATATAAAGGGGATAGCTACCCATTGGGTTATTATGGGGCAGAAAAGGGATAGTCCATGTAAACTACTTAGAGCTGTGGCTGGCTTAATAATTCTCCATAATTATTACTATTTAATAATGCTGCTATTGTTGTATAAAAAGTGTCCTATACTGAAAGCTATAAGACTAGGTCCATTTCCAGATTATTCTCTTCCAACTGAATAATCTTGAGCTTTATTTTCTTCTCTCTGGCTTAATTGTCTCATTTTTAAATTTATAGTGTTCATAATTCACTTGAATCAAATGTATGAAATATGATATGTAAAGAGCTTTGTAATGTTTGGAACAACTAATAATAAAAAAAATAGATTAAAAAAAATTAGGGCTGAGGAAGTGGCTCAAGCGGTAGCGCGCTCGCCTTGCATGTGTGCGGCCCAGGTTCCATCCTCAGCACCACATACAAACAAAGATGTTG